CCTTCATTAAGATTACTTTTAAGAAAACTAAGCAACAAAAGAGACTATAAAAACATCATAACTCTACTCATAAAATGAGATACTATTTTAGTGCTATTAGTGCAGTTATAATCACCATATGACTCAAGAGTATTATAATAAACATACTGAAAAGGAATATGGCACGAAAATATGTTCTGAATGCAAAAGATGCCCAGAGAACACCAATCAACCACAACAGTCAGCAAGCACACTCTGGCTTTCTCTAACAGCACATCAGCTCATCTGAGTCACAGGGGTTTGCAATGACTAGAAAATACAACATTAATTCAAAGGCTCAAGAAAGCACAGACACACTCTCATATCCTTATTACCCTTGTTATAAGCAAAGCCTACATTAGGGAATACTTACCTAAAAATGATTTTGTTAGCCTAGATGATACTATAGAAGACTTTAGAAAAGATGTTTTACGTGAACCTGTAATGTGCCTGATATGTCTCTACCCCCAGTGCTTTCCAATAAACATACTTTTTTAAAAAAATAGAAAACACTCCAAGATCAATGAAAATTTAAGGCACGTACCATTTGTCCATTTCAAGTAAATACTCTTCTCAACTGGGCAGTGTATGAAAACAAGTTTACAAAAATCTTACTCCTATCAGATGTGCAGTTTCAAAAGCAGCCAAGACTTAGGCTCATTTCTGGGGAGGGGGATTAAAAAAAATGCAAAATGCAAGCATATCCCTGCTCCCAGACTTGATTTCTGACTTCTCACATTTGCCTCTGCTAAACCTTCTAAAAGCTGTGAAAGAAAGGGGGAAGGAAAAAGCAAGACAGTGCAGAATCTCATCATTACTGGAGCACCTTGCAGAACATCCTGTTTCTGCTGGGATCCAACTGTAACCATAGACTTCAAACTTTCAGAAGGAATATTTGTAGTACCACAAATCTGCCTGCAGCCGTAACGAGGCCTTGGACAAAATGCCTGAAATTTGGAGCTGTCACAACAGCTTTGGTAGCACGATTCTGTCAGACCACCCTGCTAGGAGTGCACATGTGGGGATGCCAAGATGCAAATCCTGTTGGGATTCTGCTAGAAAAGGGAGACAAGCAGCATCCCATCTACACTGTCCAAAAACAATCCCAAAACTATGCCAAAATCACATTTCCATTTTATCTCAGAGAAAATTAGAAAATTTTTCACTCCAAAAAAACAGCCCAGAGGGGAAATAACATGGATACAGTATGCATAATCAGAAATACTGGTTTGCTAAGTTAATTGAGAGAACAGACTCGTTTTGGATGGCAATTGCTCAGAGGGGCCTCTACTTCAAGGGATTGTCTCTCCCCTTAGAATGAAAACCAGATGGGTAAATTCATTATTCATATTCCAAACACTACTTGCAACACTCATTTTCTAATAAACAAGCATGCAATTCTCCATTGTGCATTCACAACCAGAAAATCTTAGGTCTGTTGAAGAGATTGAGATATATGCAATATATCAGGTCCTTGATGATGCTTCCTCAAGCATGGTAACATTCAATATGCCCTAATTAGTTTCCCTTTCAAATTGCATTCCTGATTTCCAAATTACAGGAAAACATATTTATTTGACTGATAGGTTAAATTATTTTATTTCTTTGCCTTTTTGGATGAGTTGCAAAGGCATTTTTCCTGAGGAAAAACAGGAATGCTTTTTTATTTTTTCCTGCTTGCTCCAAGAAGGTGAATTTTTTTTTATCTTCACCATAACTTTTTGTTACTAAAAGGAAGGAAATGCTCCCTGAAGCCCACCACAATATGCTTTTCAGTTTAATGATACAAACATCTTCTGAAGCATAGAAGCATAAACTCATTAGCAGCATTTTAGTTCTTTCTGCTGCAGAAGCCTGGAGGAAAGAAAACTCAATACAGAATATCTGATTCTAGCACTGAAATTTACATCTTAAACCAAATTAGAGTATCTAATTTTATGCAATCTTTATATCTCAAGTTAGGATTTCTCTCTTTTCATTCTGAAAGGGGCTTGATCTTAATTTGGTATATGCTTTTCTACTTGTGTCTTGACTTATTTCTGCTTTAAAACATGAGAGCCTGAAAAGAGAAATTTCCAGGTAGGTTTAGAGAACATAAACAAGCTTTTATGAATGTCATAAATATATCTAATAGAAGAGTTATCTATGAACGATATAATCAAAGGGCATCCTAATGTAGACAAGACTAGTACATTTATACAAAAAACTATTGGAAAATAACATATTCAAAAAATACAACTAATTGAATTCCCCTAATAGTCATAAGCAATCCATCAGAGAGAAAAACAAAACAAAACTAGCATATGGATACATTATAAAATAATTTTTGGGGTTTATATTTACTTTTAGGTGTCAGATACTCAGGTTCTCCAAAAGTAGCAGGTAGATGCCTAAAATGCAATAACAGAAGACTGCAAGATCAAATGTGTCCCTGTTTAGTAATAATACATTAACACTGTTATTTGTGAAAAACACATGATTTATACTGCACACGTATTGTAGAGGAGGAAACCAAATGAGAAGAAATGAAGTGCACAGTTAAACTAAAATAGATGAACACGTGGAGAGCCACTGAAGTAAATTGCTGCTAAGAAACCCCCTCTAAGTTGCTACAACACAGAAGTCATAAAAATTCATGTGAATAAACTTATCTATTGAGAAAAACCCACATAAAGCCAAAAATATACATCATCCATATATCAAACGTGGAACTGTCGGAAAGAGGATGACAGTTTATCTGAAAAAGAAATTCTGCTCTGTATCTAATGTCTAGTCATTTCCCCTCAAACCTCTAAGTAAATCCCTCCTGGACTCCATTAAATGCCTTAAAGGACAGAGGACAGATATATCCATTACCTTTACAAAACAAAAGAAAGATGAAGAAACCTTTGTTTGGAATCTCATCTCCCAGAAGCACTGCAGAATATGGGATGTTTTTCCATTTGAATTCTCACAGAATCTGATTCACACTTATCTTTTGCTTTAATCACTTGTTAAAGTATTTAAAAACAGTTAAAAATAAACTACCTCTGCAAAAATGCAGCTAAAATTTGACATAATATCATAGTAACTGCAAAAATATCTCAAATATTTATGATTTTTGGCAAGAATCTTCCCAATCTTTAACACTTAGCAAAATGACTGGGAACTACAGTGTATCTTCTATATCAATAAATGATTCAGAAACAGATGGTATAGGTTCCATAAACATTTCAAACAAAAAAAGCCATGCCAATGTTTCTCCTTAGAAGGAAAAGCCAGCCTCAGGCAACCCTGGATGCTAGCTTTAGCAGCATTATTTTGAAGAAAAACAACTTTTAAGAAAACTAGATTTCATGTCCTTTTTACTATGATGGGCCAAAGGTCACTTTGTGTTGTATGCAGTTTTTCAAGACAGCTGTCTGTTCAGCTCTGACTTGGAAATGCCTGTGCATCACATCAGAAAATTCAGCAAACTCTGACCTTCATGATCATCTTTTCCTCTCACTTTCTCCTATCTGGGTGCATGAGAAATGAGAGCAGCAGTAACACTTCCCCATTCCGTTGTTAATTCAGAATCCTAAATACTGATTTTCTCTCAGCAAAAAGCATAAGCACTTCCTATAAATTGTTTGATGACAAATTTTATGGAAATACATATCACAAGGGTAGGAGGATGCAAATGAACATGAAGACATGTGAAAGAAGAGCTAAGGAAGTCACCAGTATGGTGAGGGTGAGAACCCCCCAGGACTGGTTTCTGTCAGAACTCCAAAATCACCATTCCAGGCAGGACTTGCCAGGAACCACACAATCCCATCCATGCAAAGTGGTCACAACTGTTAAGATTTACATCTCTGTTCCCACACAGAGCTGTGGAAGACCATGGACTTTCTCCAGGACAGTAGAAAGCTCCTAATGCCATTTGTACCCATGAAGCTTAAGGTTGGGTCCTGCACAGAGATAAGCAGTACCCAAATCTGCATGGATAGAAACTGACAACACTTTAGGGCACAAGTTAAAAGGACAACAGCCTCACAGATTCCCTTGAGCCTTTATGAGACAAGTCCCATCTTTGCACCTGTTCCCAGTCATCCACAGGGCTATAGGCCAGGTCTTTTCTAGAAAAGGCCATAGTTAAACCAAACAGAAACTTTCCCCTGATCAACAGTCACTAGTTTTCTTCTGCTATTCTCACTTATGTCTTGAGGCCCTGGAACTCTGCAGCCCCATCTGGTCCCACACCAGGTCCTGCACTCTTGTCCATGCAGCCATGGGCTGTGACAGAGTGGAACATAAAGGCCTCACCAGTCTGTACAGCCAAAGGTCAGTGGGTGTCATAAACACCAAGAGAAATGGGATCGTGGAACACATTCAAGTAAACCCTTGAAAGGCCACTTTATAGGGAAAAAAAAAAAAAAAAAAGATAACCCAAGCCTTTAGCAGTCCAGAAAATCAAGTAAAACATGTTTCAGGCACCAACATGTACATGGAGATCATTATAGACAAGAGAGGAAGCACAAAGAGCCCAAGCGTCACAGGCATATAAGCAAGACTTCCAGAGCACCAGCACTGCCAAGCTAAGCCCTTTACTGCTATGAGGCCTGAAGCCAAATTCCAGAAGAGAGCTTCCTTTTTTCTGTAATGCCCACCTTCCAGGGCTCACTGATCCTTTACAAGGAGTGCTTCATGAACATCAGGAATTCATAATAAGGAAATATTCAAGGTACATACATGGCTTACAACTGTACTCCTCTACTTCAGGTAGAATGTTAATGTTAATTCTGATCACAGATAACATAAAATATGCCTAAGTACAGATGACCTACAGGGATATACCCATTTAATAAGCTTTTTCTGTCCATCATTTAGATACAATACAGCAACCACTAGACAAGCATGGAAACAAACATTTCCCGAGTTAAAAATATTACATATTTTGTACAAGTAGTATTAATATTTTGTTTCAATTAAAATGCAAATCTTCCAATAAGCTCACTTACAGGATGTTTGGCTGAAAGTCTGCCAGTCACAGTTCCAGTTTGATTCCATGTAGAGGAAATAAATCCCTGAAATCAAGTAAAGCAAGAAAAAAAAAAAAAAACAAAAAAAAAAAGACACACAGCTGTGTTTTATTTAATACAAGTATCAGTAAGAAAAACTCACTGCAATCAAAACAAGAAAATATAAAAGAAATACTTTTAAATTTTCCACGTATAGAAGTTCTTAAACTGTAAACACTGCAATCATTTCACATATTTTTAGGATTTTACAAGCTACTTTATATATTTCTACCTTTTTCATGTATGTTTGCAGTCCATCCACATAAGTTGATTTCATCTTATGAACCTAGAATGCATAAAATTTAAGATAAATGTTTACTTATAAAAAGAAGGGATTATTTTCAAATTAAAGATCCTAATTTCCAAATGTATCCTGTTTGTAGACTTTTATTTCTTAAAGATAGTTTTATCCAAGTAAATAATGGATTTATACTCACTGATAGCTTAACCAATTCACATAAGTTAGGCAAGTGCTTGGTTATAACCTAGAAACAGAGCTTTGCAGATACTATTAAATGAACTATTTGAATTTATTATTTTACATCTCATATCCCCAGGTCAATAAATTACATGAGAAACACACATACAAAAAACACACACAAATTTAAAAAAAAAAATCAAAACCAAACATAACCCCACAGTTTAACTTTGCTTTATTTTTTTAAATTCTTGGAAGTTTATTCACTGAATACGTAATGATTAAGTGTGGGAGCAGACTAACTAGATAGTTTTGGATTTTCAGAAGGCTTGTCACCCCAAAATTCCCCATAAGCAGTTATCTCCTTCATTTTACACAAAGCATTTCTTCAGAACTCAAAAAAATAAAGGTTTTGCCCTAAGTATGCTTTATAGCACTACACAAATTTAGCAGTGAAGTTTTCCAATTGATTTTGCAACTTCGTACAAGTTGTTTGCTGGCTATAATCTAATATAGAGCAAAACAACTATAAGCATTAAAATTTAAAAAGTCTTAAGAACACTGACTTTAAATTAGTATTTGAATGAACTTTCACTAGAGCCAACTTATTTATTTAACTATGAATATGTTACCTGTCTTGCCAAATTTTTCTTCAATACAACTACATTCTGAAAAAAAAATCAGCTCACCTGGCGGTATTCTAAAATTATCTTAGGCAAAGGATGAAGATCTTGCAATTTATTTAGCTGCAAAATCAAGAATGTGAATTAATGACACGCTTTTCTTGAAGTTATTCAAACCTGAACAGAATACATTTTGGAGGAAGAAATTTTCTTGACAAACTGAATGGACAAAATACTGGCTGAAGGATGATGTCCTTCCAGCAGTCCCTCCCCAGCCCCAATGAAGCCTTCATTAGGAAGGCTGGAGATTACTCCTTCCCATTTCATTTTCACTCCTGTCCCAGACAGGACAAAAAGACACATAGACATCAAAACTTTTCCACAGCAGCTTTGAAAAGGGGTGTGATGTGTGTGTGTGTGTGTTTTTATGGCCCTTTGTTTGTTTTTTGTGCTATACAGCATAAACGCAAGAGAGAACACGATCGAAGTAGGCAAAAAAATACATGCATACACACATATTTATACCCACACAATCCAAGAGAATAATTTCTCCTGCTCATGTCTTAATAAAAGTTCCAGCAAAACTTCAAGAGAAATTGAAATTGTCAAATTAAAAATCAATAAAATAAAGTATATTTCTTATTACTTTGATTGGAAACTGCCAAAAATTCTGTTGAGGTAAAGAATTAAATTATTAAAGTAGATATTGGATATTTATAAGTACCACAGAAAATATCTGGAACTACAATAGTCCAGGATGAAAAACAGATGCAACTGTACTAGAATGTATATTTTAAGACATAAGGTTTTTTTCTTGCTACCAGGGAGAAACAACATTTTAAGATTAATTGCCTACTATTTATCTCCTGGAAGGTTTCATCCTACCTTTCTCTAAAAAACTAAGTCATAGCAGTTATTGGAAAGAGAATACTGAACTACATAAAAGCATTGCTTTGATTATAGCAACAAATCTTATATTCCCACAAAAAGATGACATGAATTCTATTTCACTGATCCCTCCCATTTCCCAAGGCTCTCTGTCACTCTCCAAGATGATATGTTTGATCTATGAAACCTCCTTCTCCTTGAGCAGTGTGTGGGTTTTATGGTTATACTGTTGAGGTTACTGGAGATCATACTTGGTAGTTCAGACACTTGACTGAAAAGTGGAATTTTCTCCTTAAGAAGAAATAAATATCACCCTCCTAATTTCCCCAAAGATGTTCAAGTTCAGCAGTGAGTTGTGCACTTTAACTCCTATGTAAACTAGAGCAATTCAATTGTAGCACCAAATCAGAAACAGGTACAGCTGTACAGAAGCTTTTTCTCTTCTAAAAAGAATCTCCATTGCTATTATTATCTTCACAAAATGATTTTTTAATGAATTGACAAGGGGATCAAGAGCACCCTCAGTCATTTTGCAGATGACACCAAATTGGATGGAAGAGTTGATCTGCTGAAAGGCAGGAAGGTTCCACTGAGGAATCTGGACAGGCTGGATCAGTCGGCCCAGGGGTCTGAGGTTCAGCACGGCCAAGTGCCAGGTCCTGCCCCCGGGTCACAACAACCCCTGCAGTGCTACAGGCTGGGGCAGTGGCTGGAAAGGGCCCGGTGGAAAAGGACCTGGGGGTGCTGATTGAGAGTGGCTGAACACGAGCCAGGTGTGCCCAGGTGGCCAAGAAGGCCAATGGCTCCTGGCCTGGGTCAGCTGGGCACACCAATCAGTGTGGGCAGCAGGAGCAGGGCAGTGACTGTCACCCTACACTCAGCAGTGAGTACTGTGTTCTGTTTTGGACCCTTCATTTCAAAAAGAACACTGAGGTGCTGGAGAGAGTCCAGGGAAGGACAGCAGAGCTGGAAAAGGGTCTGGAGCACAAGTCTAATGAGGAACAACTGTGGGAGCTGGGGATGTTTAGCCTGGAGAAAAGGAGGCTCAGGGGAGACCAGTAGTTGATTTGTTTTCCCCCGCCATGGTGTGCAACTCTCTTTTCTGGCACAAGTAACTGTAGCACAAATAGGACAATACAAAAATAAACCAAGATCATTAAAAAAACTTTCGACAAACCACAATTTCACTGGAATATAACTTAGAAGTTTTGTCAAATCATGCAGCTGGTTTTAAAACCCTTCCCTGTCTCACCACAACTTCTGAGGTGGATACAAGCTGTTGTATTTCAGTTCTGTGAAGTTTCTCACACAGCGTATGCAGCTTTAACTTATCAAATAGTACCTAAAGTAAGAAAAAGACAATAAATCTTTCAGTGTTTCAAGAGTTGAAATAGAAAGGAAAATTATTGGATGCTTGAACTTAAACAGAAAAGAGGTTTCAAGTAAATAGAGCATACTGTATCAAAGAGAACTAACAGAACTAAAAATCTTTATTTTTGAGCTATTGAAGCAGTGACAGTTACTTTAAAAAAAGCATAATTTATGTACATACAATCAAATACAGATTATTCAACATTGTTGTATTTATGAAAAACTGATGTCTTTCATTAAAATCGGAAAATAAGAGAAATAATATAGAAGAAAATAAGTAAGAAGCAGTAAGGATTTATATGCTTTACAGTTCTTCTGTATCAATAAATCCATGGAACGTACACCTTAAGTAGAAACAGTAATACAAATAATACCTCTCGGAGTTGACAACTGCTGGTCAAAAGGAATCGTTCTCCAGCAACCTCATGAGCCTCCTGTTCAAGCTCTTTGAGCCGCAACTACGTATCAGGACATCAAAATTATTCTGTTCACATTATTAGTTTCTTCAGTATCTGCCACTTCCAAGGTTAATGCAAATATTGAACCTTTTTTTAAGAATGGAGTACTTGATATCATGTAATTGCTGGCCATCAACATCTGGTTGAGTAGATTGCTTATATACTCCTTAATTTATATTGCTTCATGATCTGGTAAGGGAATTTATTGTAGTAAGAAGTACCAACGTTTGTGGTTAAAGAATTTAGGTTACTGAAGCTTTAGAGATCTGTGAGAAACATAGCTATGCAAATTATTCTGATAAATTAGTAATCTGTCAGACCAGTGATTATCTAGTCAAATTTTATGTTACAAAATGGGATTCTCTTGTAGCTATTTTTATCAAAGAACAGTCATTTAAAGAGTGTATTGTTCACAAAAGAGAGAGAGAAGTCTATCGCTTCTCAGGGAGATGGTTACTGAAAACTGTATGTTCAGAAAGTACAAATTACCACTTTTACTCTGCAACACATAACCCAAAAGACCTGCACATTTTGCAATACAATTTCAGTACTGGGGAAAGGCTGATGAAGCAAATACCTCTTTTTTACTTGTGTAAATAAACAGGGAAGTATCCTAAAATAACAAATATAATTAGTTATATTTATAAACATATAATAAAAACACCACACTATTACATTAACTGTGACAGAAGTTCCTTCTCTTTCTAATCAGTTATCCTCAGCAAAAGAAACAAAGATATTATACAATTTTCAAGAAAAAAAATTAATACAAAATTTACCCCTAGAATCTCTGATGTTTTTTTCAGTTCTTGTTTGTTCACATATATTTTGTGTGTTTCCATCACTGTAAATACAATTTTAGGTTATGAACACTTATAATTTACAATTTCAATTTTAGATTCTTCTTAGACTGTAAAATGGAAACTGAAACTCACACAGCTGTTATGAGGCTATGATAAGATTTCATATTCTGAGGAATTACATTCCACTTGAGCATAGTCAGCAGCTATGTGAAAATAGTGAAGATTCGTATTTTGACCAGAACTTTCATACCTGCCAGAATTTTGATAAGTGGAAGCTCTAATGTGCAAAATAAGTTCCACAAACCTTGAGCCTGTAAAGTAAGATATAAGTACATTCTTCAGTACCAGTTAATTTTGATCTCAAAACATATAGTGGTGTCATTAGGTGAACATATTTTCCAGTAAGCAGTATTTCACTTACTGTATATTCCATTTTTATATGACAACACTGTTTGTGGCATGAAATACTACTTAGTGTAAATTATAGTATCTTAATGTTGTCACATCCTTTTTGTGGGGAATAGGAATTTTGCAACAGTAACCACTTTGTACAAGAATGCTAATAATATATATATTTTTTCTGAACAGTTTATTTTTAAAGCAAGCTTCATTATAATAGGGCACATAGTTATTTCTTTTCCTTTGTTTGCTTGAACGATTCAGCAACCATTCATAATCCATAACTTTGTTTTCATTAGGGAGACAATAAGAGTTGAAATGGTTATGTCCCCAAATTACTTACAGAGAACAGAAAGTCTGTTTTTTCTCTAACCACTGAAGCAATCTGACGTGTCTAAAATCTCTTGTGGGCTGGATCTCTGTGTTTCTGTGCCTTTGGTGTTTCCCTGCTGCCTCCCTTCACGGATTGTTCATCATACTGCTGGGCCACTTGGATATCCACATTAATATGGCTCCACCACCTCATGGTCTAAGCCCTACATCTGCTACCAGAAATTTCAGACAATCCTTGGGAAGCTATGATGCCTCTTGCACCAGAACCTGGGTGTATCCCTAATTTCTGGCACTTTTCCAGTTATATGATCACAGGCATTAAAAAAGCACACATACCCCGACAGATTTCTTGAGGTGCATTCTGAACTGAAATAAGGGGTAAAACAGAATGAAATAGTTCACTTGGAAGGGACCTACAATGACTATCTAGTCCCACTGCCTGGTCAATTCAGGGCTGACTAAAATTCAAAGCATATGGTTAAAGGCACTATCCAATTGCCTCAAACACTGACAGGCCTGGGCCTTCAACCACCTGTCTGGGAAGCCTGTCCCAGCATGTGATCAGTGCTTGGTTAACACAGTCCAGAACACAAGACATGCTGAGAGTTTTCATAAGCAAGGAATACACAGAAAAATATAGCTATACTATATTCTACGCCTTTTAACACTTTTTAGACAGTAATACATAGATTTAAATGCTAAAAGAAAAGCCAATATTCTGAACCTTTACTGTTCTCAGAATCTTCACTTAGTTAAATGAAGCAGAGGAAAAGTTCCTCCTAAAGATTAACCTTGACACCATTTCCTTCTAGAAAAAATGGCAAATTTGATGGGCAATTTATTTTAAATGTTGACTGCCAATGTAAACCACTAAGGACTGAAGCATTCTTTCATTCTAATTCAAATGAGAAATACATCATTAACTCTCTTTAATTCAATACTTACATAGTTATTCTTGGGCAAATTCTTTTTGTCTTACCTTTAAGCCATGAGCAAGGTCCATCATTACATTATAAAGCTTCTCCAAGTTCACACCCAAGTTTTGATACTGATATAAATAAAAAAAAATCAATAACTTTATTGCTAGCATAAAAATATTTAGAGAATTACCTTTTTAAGAAGGTATAAATTGTAAAAATGTGCTTTTCTGTATGCCTTAACATTTTAGAAATATTGTTAGATCTTTGTCCAACCCAAATCATTAACACAGAACTAGATTATAAACATTCCAGATTTTGCCTGTTCTTATATTTACATTTTGTATCAAGTACAGAGAAACATAGTATTGATAAACTGCCTTTGACAGTGAAGTTAAGAGTTCCCTTGCTACTTGTAAGATGAGGAAAAATTCCTTGCATTATTTTTCTCATATAAGTACTGCCATTTTTGTGTCAGAACTGTTCTTTTCCTCCCTTTTGTTCCAGAGGTGTTCCACACAGCATCATGTCACCTCTTTCAATTGGCTGAATACTTTTTTGAAATGTATACAAATACTGAGAATGGTTGTTTGCTCCAAGAACATGACCATTAAAAATAAAGACTGAGAAACAGCAAGCCCTGGAAGGTAGGATGCAGAGAGCTCTCTTCAAAACTGAAATATCCACTGGTGATGATCCTTGTTCTAAAACAGTCTAGTCCACACTGCAGTGAAATGTCACCAACGTGTCTCCAAGAAACCTTGTCCATACCAACTTGTTCTGAAACAAAAGAGCTGCCTGTGAAATACAGACAGTTTGCTTGATCCCTTTCTGGAGGTGAAAGAGAGCCCAGACAGGCTTTAACTGACACCAAAATTCCTCATCAGTAAATGCAGCAATGACATGACCAGCATAATGTTTAGCACCCATTCCAGCAAATGTTGCTGTGAGTATGGACCATAACCACTTCGGCACAGCACCAAATATACAGACAAGCAGCAAGCAGCACATCCTTGTGCTAGAGGTGTGTGGGTGAGTTGTGGGCTACAGAATAAACCAGCAGTCATCCCAAGTACTGTGGTGGGTGGACAAGACTAGCACAAGACAGGGAGCTTCACTTAAGTAGTGAGGCACAAGATGATTTATCACTTACCACAGATCCCTCTGGCAGTATAGACAACTGTTAGGAAGCTACCAGTAAAAACAGCAAGAAGATTGAAGAGATAAACCTGGCAAAGAGCCAGGAGACACAGGAAGAACTGGGATTCACTGAGCAAAGAGAAAAGCCAAAAAGGAAGTATCAGAGTGCAGGTGACAAATTAAGAAATAAGGAAAGGGGGGAAATAATCACAGGATGTTACAAGGAGGCATTAGCTGGGCACTGAGTGAACAAGTCAGCATAAAGACACTGGAGATGGCTGGGGCAAGGAAACAAACTAGACCTGAAGTAGGACAGGAAGGAAATAAAATTTCAATATTTAATTCAAGAGCTGGGAATCAGGATGACAAAGGTGAAAAGTGACTAAGAACAGACGTGCTATCTGAAGAACAAAAGACTGAGTCAAGCTAAGGGAAGAGACAAGATTAAGGATGCTGACTCACAGCAAAGCCATCCCATATAGAAATAATGATAGGTAACTTCTGTCTGCTTGTCTATTCCCTACACTAATAATTTAATTAATGAAGTAGCTTCTGAACAACTGCAGTTTACAGCCAATGCTTTCAAGTAACTGCCTCTGGTTTTCTCAGAAGAGTCTACACTGATGGGTAGATGACAATACAACCAATCTCTGTCTATGCTCTAAGCACAATTGACATCTATGGATTTGTATCCTACAGGTCCTATAATCATGGTGCAATACATGATGGTCTGAATGAGCAAGACCTCTGAAAAGTGAATGGCATCAAAAAAACCCATTATGTAGGTTTCTCTACATCTTCCTATCCATCAAACAACCTCTGAAAGCTAATGTGCCCACAGTAGATCATCACAGCCCAAAACAGATACAAATATTTTATAATGTTCAGGAGATAAATTTCAAGAGAAATACAGAAGACATTTGATATGATACAGGAAGAACTTTCCATAGTGCAGGGGATAACATCTCAAAAAGTTCCTCATGCATTCTCTCACACTGAGAATTAAAATTCACAGATTTTTTCATACATATGCTTGAAGGTTCACATTTCACTCCCTGCTGTTTCTCAGCCTATGATGTGGCATTTTTACCAGCTGTGAAATTTAGCAAAATGGTTAATAACAATCAACTAAATACAGGCTACAATTGCACAGGAACTGGAGAACACAGCATCAGACATTTTGGAAAGGAGAGTTGGAAATCATTTTGCAGGAAGGTGAAGAGAAGAAAAGAGAAAATTGCATATTAATTAATGTTTTTACTGAGCTTTACAGTTTCAAAAGAAAATTTTACAGCTGCTCCTGAAGAATGAGGTCCCATCTTGGTAGATGCAGTAAAACCTCCCCTTCTCCCCTTTCTTTAGATATACAACATGTAGCATTTACAGAATCATTTTATTCCATTATAAAAGCATTATCTATCTTCTTTTGTAATATTTTCTAAGAAAAAGCAATTTTATTATCACTTCCTTCCCTTTTTAACCCAACCACAAACAATTGAAAACAAGCTACTTACAGATACATTTATCAAAGTGCCCATATCTGTATTTTCTGCTCCCTTTAAAAAAGGTTTTTCAAAATACTTCTGTATTAAACACTCAAAGGAAGGAACTGTGTCGCTGGGGTTTATCAGCCATGCTGCAATCCTTGGATCTAGCATGACAATATTGGCAACTACAAAACAAATTATTAAAAATACTTAAATTAACTCCCATACTGAAAAACAGCTCTGAAGTTTTGTCCATCTTTCCTGCATGCACACATCGTAAAAGGACAAATATTTACTCTACAAAAATATTAAACATCAAATTCACAGCTCTAATACATGGTCATGACTACACAGGAGGAAGTTCAGTATTGCGTATTTTTGAAGAGTGTTATTTTGTGAGGTTGGGGAGGATTTTTTTGGTTGGTTGATCTTTCCAAATTTTTGAATATAAGTAAACTTCTGGCTCCTTAGATTTACTGTAAAAACCTCCCTTTCCTAGAACTGAAAAACTACAAGTTGAGGTTGTTTTTTTTATGAGAGTCTCCCTCTGGTACAGTTTTCTTATTGTTACTGTTGTTACCTTGACTGATACTCACAAAATTGCTATTGGGGATTAGGAAGGTATTTACTTCCTAGCAATCAGACCAAGATTATTAATGTATATATGAATTCAGATATGGGCACACAGTGCATTGTTTCCAAAACTCAGAACCTTTTGTCCTTTAGCATCGTATGTGCTCACACTGCAGCCTCATGTTCACTTAGATGGATAGGGTGGGCTAAACCCAGTGCTGTTCAACTTTCCTTTGAACTACAATCTCTACATGTGTCCTGCAGTTCTACAAAGAACAGGAAAAACTAATAATTAAACTGCTTTGTGATATATTCAAAGATAAACCTAAGTATCCTCTTCAGTAACCCCTAAGTTCAAACAATGACCTACAGGTCACATTTATAGTGCACTCCATGCTACACAACCTTGCAGACTCAGCTATCCAGGAGCAAATTCTAATGTCCATAATGCAAGTTACAGCTACTACAAAAGCCTAGACAAGAATTCTTCTGTTTACTAGAATCTTCAGATTCAAATCCCATGGATCAAGTGGGATATTACTAATGAAGTACTTCAAAGTTATAAAAGTCATTATTGCCAGTTCCATTATGGCATTTCTTTTCCCACACATTCCCAGTGCTGGTTTTTGTACAGATCTTCACACCAGATTTTAAATCATCATCAGTTTACTGTGATTTACTGAAACTTTTCAGATGCTGAGCACATGATTCTCCATAGCAGGAGCCCCACCCTGAAAAGTCACGTGCACTTTTGTAACTCACTGAGCAGTAATTTGATACATGGCACCAAAAAGAACTCCCCCCAAAAAATGAAAAAAACCAACCCAAAACAAAAAAAACGTTAATTATATCTTATGCCCATTGTTTGTAGTTGTTTTTTAATCTATAGAGAAGAGTCTTGTTTCTATCAAAAGAACATGGGCCCTTTCAAGTGATTCCTAATTCTGACAACTATGAGCAACCCAGGGATTTATTTTAGTCCTTACTTTGAACAGAGGAAGTTTTTTTTCCTAGGGAATATGAAACATGAAGTAGTTTGACCTTTTCAGCTATATTCAGGACCATGTTGAGAGCTTTTGTTTCTGCTGGAAGCTATTCTTAAGTTACTCAATGATTTGACACCTACTCTGAGAAGAAATACATTATCTTGCCATGCCAAGCCTCTGGTCACAACCTCCCCCAGGAAGGGTGTTCTTTTTCATGGTACTAAACTCTCTTTTTCTATATATTACTTTCCAGCAATTTAGTTATTTCTACACTTATTGATTTTAACAGAAACACCAATAGCACAGAGATTTCAGGATGAGATCATACATTGAATACTTGCCTTGTTTCCAGCTGATTTCATTACTATAAACTTGAAGTAGAGTCCTCAGGAAATCTTTTGCATTGAAGCAAATTATTGGAACTTTACTCTGTAGCATTTGAAATAACACTTGCCTGCACAGAAGTAGTTCATTAACACACACTATACTGCTCCTATATTTAGTCAATCTATTTACTTTGTTATTTTAATTAGCACCTAATACTAAACACTTAACCCAAGACATTTCTTTATTCCTATAAGAACAGACTATTGCATTTGAGTATTAAATTCTCAGTTCAGTAATACTCAAGATGATGTTGTATAAGAAATTAAAACATCCTAGCAGATATGCTTTATCACATAGAAATATCATATAAAGAAAACAAATACTTGTTTAACTCCTGAAGTGCAACCTTAATCCAAAGCCCAAATTGGAATACCTGCAATACTTCAGTATACCTAAATAAGATCACAGAGATTATACTGATGTAGCATTATAAAACACCAGTTTAAAACTTACTAGACAGCCTAAACTGCCATAGCAGTGTTAAAATGCTGTTTAAATCCAAAATGCTTCATCTTTGTCATGTATTTCCATACCTCTTGAAAATATCTACAATTCCTTCATTCATGATATTTTAAATAGATATAACCATATATATATATTAGTATATAGATTTACCAACTATGTGTCTTTTTAAAATAAGTTATATTTCGGGCAAGATAGAAAAATAATAGTTTTTATAAAGCACTTTTGATGGTATGAGCTCCAAGGGTTCAGACATACTAGACATCACACAGATCATAAGGTATTGCTGTATGCATTATAGATTCCTTCTTAAACAATTGCACAACTCTTACAGTAAGTAATTACCTGTAGTTTTAATATAATTGCTAATACTCATAATCAACTTATCAAATTTTTACTGTTCTTACATACATGCTTTACTGATATGTTCTTCTCAGTTCACAACAACCTATATTCAAGCCGACATGTTATTAATCCACTTGTCATGTAACCCCATTACTATTGAAGAAGCAAAGTCATGATTTGTTTCAAGCCATGATTTCAAGCAGTGGAAGAGATGCAACTAAGAACCAAGTCCCACAGTTTGAAATGAATGTTTTGTAATTTAATAATCCAAATTCAGCAGTTTACAATAAGACAGCTATTACTGAAAGTCATAAAATATTCTGATGGAGTTTTAAAATGCTAGAGTATTACATCTAGGAATCAGATTCAGTTCGCATTTCTCCCTTTTTGGGCTATGATTTTCAAGTTAATAAAAATAAAAATGGACTTTGGTTATAATAACTAACTTTAAAACATAGTCCAACTTTTTATAAAAATTTAGTCCATGTATTACACATAAACATAAAGCCTTTACTGCCAAAATTATATTGTATTATTACTGAATGTTAGTAAAACTTCATTTGGAATGTCAAAAGCCATTAAAAAAATCTGTGCTAAAAAGATTTAAAGTATTAACAAAGCTCATTGTGTTTATCACAATGTCCATCAAAAATGTACTAGCTAAGAAATACAGCTCAAGAAATGGTAAATGAAATACAAGGAAGATAAACCTGGACAAAACATTCTTTGGTGCTGTCCAGCTTTAACTGCTCATAAAGGATTTTCAGGTGAAGCAGTTAAGCAGCTCCTACCAGAATCCCAGCCTAATTCTGAAAGGGCTGCAAGTCAGTGATATGCTGAGCCCAAAGGAATAGTCTATTCTTATTTGGTTTCCATAAGCCCAGACTTGATACGGAACTAACACAGCCAAAATGAAATTAAACGAGCCTGACACATAAGGAGATTAGGCCTGTGCTAAGCAACCAACATTATCATTGCTGAAAGTATATGTAAAGCAAAACAGTATTTTTTCCTACATACTCTCACCAAGAAAATTTCTTGTGAGCTTGTTCTTGTTCCCAAAGAGATGACTGTTCAGTTTTCAAATAAATTAATTTATCATTTTCATTATCAGCATTCCAAGCACAGCCAGTTGAAGTGTGACTGGGAGGACAAGGCTGATCAGTCTGATTCTTCACCAGCACAACAACTCCTTTTACTGATGAGGTAGAGGCCTGTTAAGCATAATTACAATAGTGTTTCCTCTAACAGATTTTGTGCAATCCTATAAAGAAAAATTCCCAAGTGTTTTACAATATTAAACACATTATGTACACTAATACATAATATCAATTGTATTAGTAACACCTTTGACACAGTAGAGGAGGATGCGTTTCAGCCTTGACACAAAAATCTGCGTGGTTTTATTTTCTCTAAGTTTTACTTGGCAGTTTAAAATAAAATGTAATCTAACTGTACATTTTGGTATGCCATACACAAGTGTTGCCAATGAACACGGGTTTGTGATTATCAGTTGCATGCACAATCAAATGGTTCCACAGAGCTGACTAAACAAAACCCATCCTTCACTAACCTGCTCCGAGCTCAGCTGTGAAGAACCATCTTGAAATATCATAGTAGTTACAAAAGCTGCTGCCTGTTCTATGGTTGCAAGCAGTTCACTTTTCTCTTCACATCCTAAACTGCTGATATCACAAGGATACTTTCCAGAAGACTTTGTTTGTCCAGGAGTACAGCTGTATCTTCTTTCATGTAAGAACATGTAGGTATTTACCTGCAATCTTCTTGTTTTCTCTGAGCAAGATGTAGACACGTTTTGCTTTCTTTTAAGAGGAATAACTATATTCTTTTCCCATTCCTTCAGGTTTTTTTCTTCTACTGAAAGATTCCTTTCTCGATATCCCCATTTTGGGAAGCCTGAATCCTGGTAACAGTTGCCAGATATTTTGGTATCTTGACAGCCAAGTATTTCATCCATATGCCCTATCCTGACTATCTGACCAGCAGTTCTTTTTTCAGGGCTGACAGTTGCTTTTAATATGGAAATTCTGGAATCACAATCCTCCTGGGAAAATCAGAAATTTTTAGCAAACAAATTATTTGACTTATTAGGAGAAACTAAAAATTGCACAAAGTTAATTTAGGTAAGTTTTCAAGAAAGCAAAATTCTATGAAAAAATGTTGATACTAACAAAACAGAACCAGTTTAGGGGAACCACATTACATAAACCAAAATTCAACCATGTATCAGTAGAGATTTTGTTGACATATACTGTTTACACCCACAACTACTTTTTTTTTTTAACCTAATATTAGCTCAACACTAAAAATGGCAAATTAAAAACTGCAGGATGCATCTCGTCCAGTAGCTTGTCTTCCGTAGTGACAAAGTCAATATTGTCTGAAGAGAGGAGACAACTTTCAGAGCTCTTTTCATGACAGTTTCATTTGTTATAGAACTTTTGGCATGGGATTTTAATGACTGCTTTGGAATTTCAAGTACATGAATCAACTGCATCCTTCAAGCACCTTACAGTATTGCAATATATAACAAAAATACATAAGAAAGTTGAAAAAGTATGAATAAGTATTATATTCTATTCCATTTAATCCACTATACACAGAACAGTTTTCCTACTCCAAATCTCCTGAATCCCTTTACAGCAGCATGCTACTAAGGGGCATTAAGCAAGATACTGCATGGTAGTGCTTGAATTCTACTTCTTCATCCTGATTTCCTTCAGAAATTTCCTTGGTATGCTACTAGCCCTAGTACTTTCTTACTATTTACTTTGCTAGTTTCTTCTACAAACTCCTCAGCTGAAATAGATCCTCTGCCTTGATTTCATGAACAACGACCCTGGAATGGCAATCACTGTCCTTTTCAAGATTCCCTAAGGTAAATGTGTGTTTAACAATTTACAGATATACAGAACTTCCCTCAATGCTTTTTATGCCTCAACCACCAGCAGGCCTTAGAGGAGCTGGCAGGCTTTCTACTCATGAGGCATTTGAAAAAATTATGTATTTGTGATGCATTTGCAAGCTTTTCCTCAAAGTTATTTTGAACTATACCATTGTGCATATTATTTAACTTAGTCAAATGAGACAAATATAAAATAATACAAATTCTGCTAAGTTCACATTTTTGCATGATGACATTTTTTAAGTCTCATTCATACTGTCTCTCATCCCTACTACTTTTTCCAGACTCAATTTAGTATTAATTTCAAATCTTCAATATTCTGCTTTGAAGAAATCCCTATACTACCTACAAATGTTCTGGGCTTGGAGGGAAATTCCATATAATTTCTTTTAAAAGCTTCTTCAGTTTTATAGTTTTCTTTCTGAAATTAAGCATTACTGTCTTACCCATCTTTCAATGCCTCCAAAACACTATAGTCTCTGTAAGCGCACCCGTCAGCAGGGAAGATTTTGGACCTGATCTTACACAGAATCAAATAAATACAAATTTTTCTTGTGAGTTCTCCAACTATTCCACAAAGCAGTTGTCTCCTTATTTGCAGCTGGAGCACCATGCATAAGCTTAATATTCACTGACTCCATTGGAAAGTAACTGGAGTCTCTCATAATTACTGTATTTTGGTCTCTTCTAGCCCAGTCTCATTCAGTACAACTGTTCTCATCCCCACTGCAAAAACCAAGACTTCCTCACTTCAAAAGAACAAGGTCCTGCTGTGCAGGGCTCCCTCCAGTCCCCAAGATGACAGCTTTCACTGATCAAAGGCTATTGTCTACCTCCATCACATCTGTATTGATTGAGAAAGCCAGAATGACAGAGCCAGTAAATTTGGTACTTTTTTATGGTTTCACAATGTTCATCAACCCAGTTCAAATATTCCCAAACCTTAGAAAGTGATGAAAAAGGCTTAAGACTGCTTTAGATCATACTTCACAGGATCAACTCCACACAAAAGCACAATTACAAGGTTCTAAGTAAGCAGGAAAAGGAAGCTAATTCAGTTTGACCTATGCAATGCTAAAAGGTGGGCACTATAAAGTTACCAGAAGGAGAAAAATCATATCACAGAAGGGCCAAATGTTTAAGAGCCATAGGAAGACAACTAATTCACTCAAGTGTATTCTCCAGTCAAACTGCAAATAGTTTATCATTTAACACAGCAGAATTTAAATTAGGACACTCTAGTAATTACAGAACCAGGAATAAGCAAGCCTTTTAAAGATTCAAAAAAATACAAACAAAGCAATTTAATTATCAAGTCAGAATAATACAGCTGGAACAATTAACCACACAGAGAAACAGCAACTTCCATTAAGAACTGATCTTCTCTTAGGAATAATGACATGGCTGGAAGTAGAGAAAATGATTCCCAGGATGTAGTTTCATAATTTATGTCAATGTAGGAAGATCTCAGTAGATGCAGACAGTCAAAATTAGAGCATCATCATTAGAAAAAGGGATTCCACTCCTATCCATGTGAACCCACAGCTGCTTGAGCACCTGTGAGCCAGGGTAATTTGTAGGAAACAATCTCTTTCCATGCAAGGCATCAGTTTTCTGCATCTTGAGCAACCTGAATGGAACTGAAGTGTGCAACATGCACCACTGTCCGAGTAAGGAAGGCTGTGAAATTTGCAGCCGGGATTAGCTGCACCATCTGCAACTCGTCAATTAACTCAATGGATTTTACAATCAAAGACTGATCTGGGGCTGCCAGTTACCTGTTCCCACACACCGGCACTCACTCACATGCACTTCAAATAAAATTCAGAGAAATTATTAAACCCAAAATTAAGCTTCCTAATATGAAGCAATTTTTCATATGAATCGTCTCACTTTATGATTATTCAGTGACAGGAGTCTGAGAACATTTCTAAACTCCGGTGACTGTCTGAATGTGGCAACCTCTTTTCTAATCAGTCTGTCATAGAAGACCAATTTCCTGTGAAAAGGGAACAGAAGTTGGGACCAGACTCTCATAGGTAAACATAGGCCAAGTGCAAAAAAAGACAGAGGAAGTTACCTGAACTATGACTGTATAAAATACAGCATGATAAAGCTTGTTATGAAAGAACCAGTCTATAACTTCAAACCTGCTACAGAAATACTGCTTTTAGTGGTTTTTCAATCTTACAAAATGCTTGCCTTTTCATTTCTCAGATGTGCATCCTTATCACCTAGTTTATTTTCCTTCATCTTCTCTACACCTTTAAAAAAGAAGAAACAATTTAAAATACAAATGAATCTGCAAGTAGCCCATGTAACTTAGGCTTCATACAGGGTTATATTACTGACATTTTTACCACACCTGAAAGAATTGTGAAAAAATTTCCCTCATTTATCAAGTTAGTATTCATGCTTAAAAGGGCCCCAGAGGTTCCAAAATACACGCATGCAAAAGTCTGCTCTGTCACCATTAAGAAAAAAATCACTTAAATTTCACAACAAAGCAGAAAAACATTTTCCAAGGTATTCAGAGGAAGAATTACTATAATTCCATAATTATGTGAATTTCCCTCTTTCAAGGAAACACAACTCATATTGATCATAGTAAAGCTGAGTGTACAAACATGAAGGACAAAAAAAGAAAAATCCAAACTCTAGAAACTTTACACAGCTTAACTGTTTTCTTGGAATCCAGCAGCAGTATTCCACAAAACCTCTGTTCTATAAAGCATTATTTGTATTTGAATTTAGCATATCATGTTTTACAAACTGACCATGTTTCACCTACAGGGGATATTTTTTCACATTGTTCATCTTGCAACAGAACAGGCATTCTAAGACCAGGTAAGAGAGATCAAAGATACTTCAGACCTGACAAACTGACAGGAAGATAAGGTGACACCAGTCCCACAAGAAGCTAGCAAGCCACCAGTGCCGGGTGTGACACAGAGCACAGCACAGCTGGAGTCTGGCCCCCCACTGAACTGCCAGAGACCCTTAGCCCATGGCTCCAAAAGCACAGTTGCTGCTGTTCCAAGAGGGCTTTGCAAATGCACCTCAGACTCACACCGTGGCAAGTGAAACCATTAGGACACGGGTTCTTTTCTGCTGTTAACACTGTCCACAAGCCCCAAGAAGAGGAGAATCAAGTGAAGCCTGGAATGAAGGAGCCAGGGGTAACAGGCTAGCAGTAAATATCTCAATGGGTACAGAAAGAAGAACAGGGAAAAAGAGGAACTCCCCTGAATTTCAAGTTTCTCCAGAGTTCACAACTAGTTTGGCTTCGTTTATGCTTCAATTATCTTACTGCCCAGCCAAAAGACACCTCACAGGCAAAGTACGTATTTTGACCCCCCCATACTGAGTAATACTCATACTAAATAAATGCCCATACTAAACTGCCACTGTCAGCTATGAAGCTGCACTATCAGCAGCAAGATCCTTTCTGAAACAACAATGGTGTTGACCAACGTCAAACAAAGCATAAGGTGATCTGTTTCAATTTACTAGCACTGTTTCAAAAAACACGTGTGGGCAAATCAAGACCTTTGTCTACAGAAGAAAATAAGCTTATTTCTGCATGTTATTCTAAGTGTATAATCAGACATTTAGCTCCAGCTCAAACTTCTAACCTAAGTTGTTAGAACAGCCAATATTGCACAGCTGTGTTTGTAGCTTCAAACATTTTACCTTTGGTTTTCTCAACACCTTCTACAACAATGAGATAATAAATTAAGAATGATAGTATCTCAGTTTATGTTCAGTGCTTTTGTTTAACAGCTAGACACTTTTCCTTGACAAATCCAACCCCCAGAGAAGATGAGGATTACATTTCTTTCCTCCAACACAATAATTGGTATGATAAGTATTGAAGAGATCTGCAACTTCCAGTTTCTGAATTATGACAAAGTATCACCAGATGGCAGCAGAAATCCATCTTTGCCTTCCAACTCCTCAAGGCCTGATGGAAAGATTAGAGCTCCACTGCCAGGATAACCACAGAATTTCACCAACTAGGTCAACATTGCAGATATTTGTTCTATTTGAGCCCAATATTTACCTTCTAAAGACAAACATTTTTTCCATTAAGTAGAATCAAAAATTTAAAAATCTATCTATAAAATACAGTTCAATGCAGTCTGAAACAGACCAACTAACATCAAAGGTTTGCAGTTGTTTTTGTTTTTTTAAGAGAGGCAAACTTCTTTTTTATAGACCCACACTAAAGCTATATGTGTGTATATATATGTACAGGAAATGACAAGGTAGCAAGAGAAGTAAATGAAACTAAGCTAAAGAGAGATCGAATTTTCTTTAAAATCATCTGCATTTTAGTACCAGATGTACCAAAGTAGTATTTTAAAATTAGCTCATCCCACATTTCTTTAAATCAGTGTATCACTGATATACACAGTGATGAACTACTATCTTTGTCACTGCTACATCAGCAGGCTCCAGTGATCCAATACTTCACTGAAAGAGGAGCCTGAACCATAATTAATATAGAACAGTGGCTGCAAAAACCACAATGTACAAAGGAATAAATGTTACATTTTAAGCCCACTGATCAGATAATATACCAGGACCTAGCTCTCAGGAGAAAACAGACAACTGAAATTAAGCCAAACTCCTAACTTTCTACTTCTTTCCAGAGCCACAATTTGGCTGTGACTCGCCCAGAACTGAGAATAAACCCTGCACCTTGCAAAACCTCCCCACTATCTACAACATTCTAGATCTGCTGAGGCACTTTTAACATTACCTAACTCGTTCTTTCACCAGGACTTTTGTTCACTCTTCCCCCTAGAATTTCACAAGGAGAAAACTGCTAATGAGTATGTGTTGTAAGGACAGACATGAGTCTGGAGAGCTCACAGATTTCCTGTTAAGCTCCTAGTACCTCCAGTGATCTTTAAACATCTAGTCCAGAGTCAAGTTAATGTATGCATCTAATTTATGACACTGTAGTACTTAGGTAACAGTTTGAAATTCCCATATAATTCTGTACCACATAGCAGGAACAGAAAAAGGAAAAATTAAATTTGTGGTACCATTCCTTGCACTCACGTAACATTATTGAATTGGAAAAGTCCCAGAAAATGTCACAGTTACAGCTTAATTCCTTTTCTAAAGCTGTAAACCTAAACTCTCACCTTTTCTTTTCCTCTATTTAAAAACAGGGACTAGAGGTTTGATATTGCTGTTTCAGTTTTTCAGCAGAAAAGCACAAATAGGCTAAGATTTACTCACTCTGATTATTTTCTCTGTTAGTCTGAGCTTCTACAGGAATAGATTGCAGAGCTGTCATAATCCTCTGAGCAATATCAGATAAAGGTACTTTAGAAATCTCACATCCTATGTAACGCTCCATTTTTAAGATTAAACCTAAACACAGAACACAAATTATGAATTAATCAAGGCCATTAGTAATCCTCATTTATATTCTGTTGAAATTAAAGACAAAAATATAGTGAACACATTTAGCCATTCATTCTCAATGGAAAATTGCATTTGCTCCCAGACATGCCTACCAGTACTGTATTGGAAATAACAAATATAATAATTTATAAAAAGAAACTTTGAAATAGTTTTTTAATACACTGATTAAAAAATCAGCAGTCCTAAGTACAGCTAACTTTACTATTAAAAAAAAATCTGACAAATAAAACAAGAAGTATGCATGTTGGAGATACTTTCCGCCTCCCAGCATCTTTAAACTCGTCTGTATCTTAGCACATGCCTACATTTACTGTTACTAGTGCTTGGATTTTATCAGGAAAAGCACAATTAACTTTCAAGCAAGCTGCCAAAATTAAGCCAACACAAGATTAAAGAAACAAGCATTACTACCACAATGTCTGGCCATTAGTTATGTGCTGTCTCAGAAAATACTTATCATAAAAGACCCCTGCTTTCTTAAATTTTGTATAATTGATGCATTCAAATATTGCTATGTCTTGGTAACTTTAAAATAGCTACTATAGCTTGTCAATTTAAGAAACTGGTCAGCAACATTGATAGTCTCTACAAGCTTTGACCCCAGCTACTGTTGTTGTAAATGTTATCCTTTTCTGAATAGGAGCTGGTTTTCCAGCTGAAGTGCCCATATTCTATAATACCTACAAAATACTTGGAGAATTCCTAGGTACAACACACACTGGAGAATCACAAGAAACAGTGCCCACACTGATGACTTGTTGCTTTACAGTTACACCAGAACATGTCCTTCACAAACACAAGAGAAATATGCAGCATTTTAAAAAACACTTAAAGGATCCAAGCTGTACAAACCAATCACTCTACCAAAACCTGCTGTTGACTTAATTATTCCTATACAAGTGGGTAACTGGAGTCCTGTTACTCTGGTCTTCTCCCACTAGATCCCACTGGTGCATGAGCAGACTGTCAAACTTAACCATCAGCAAACAGTTCCTCTGCCTACACAGAAATATTTCTCTTGCCTCAAGACCACAGATATGTTGCAACTTTTAGTATTTATAAATGCAAATATTTGCATACAATTCAAAGAGGAACATCCATCACACTGCATTAGCACTGGCTGTATCTATCTAGTTCTAATTAGTAAGCATGTGAAGGAAAGGGTGAGAGGTGGAATGGTTTTCTTTTCCCCAACATTCCATGAGTCAGAAGTACAATCCTTCCCCACACTCAAATCCTCCTAACTTCTGTGAGAGCAACACTTCTTTCCTACACAGGGTTAAAGTGCTCCCTGACTTCTCAGGCTGGGAAGCAGCAGCCCCAGAAGCAGAACAAAATGAGAACCCATCAGACTTAAAAATAAACAAGACACCATGCCTGAGAACAGGCCTAGAAAAACCCACACAGATTCACCATAAATATTAACCACACTGAACTGAATTGACAGAGTTTGGCATTTAATCATAAACACAAAGAGTAAAGCAGCATTAAATCCAGACATAAAGACACCCGACCAGTAAGCTAAAAAAAAATAAGTTATAAGTACATAGAAGTTAAAAGTCTGCCATCAAAATAGTTTTAAGACTACTGTTACTGAATTTCAACTAATATATTAGCCTTCATCAATATGTACAGTGCTTGAAAGCAAGCACAGCTGATCCCATCAAAATATAAAAGACTGGAAGTTATCATACTATAAAAGCCTATTTAGTTCCATTGGTATATTAGGAAGCTATATAAAAATTTGATAAACAGGCTAACAGTGCACATGAAAGCACAAGCACGAAAGCATCAGTGCTCTGAGTTGAAATGCCTATCATTACAAATTATAAGGCAAACTCAGAAGTACAAAAAAGAAATTTAAAATTCTCATTCATTGACAAGCCCAGTATAAGTATGGACTGGTTTCAATGGAGAAGGTAGATTATAAGTTAAGAGATATTAGAATGGTCTTAAAACAGATGGTCTTGGTAGTTAAAACATTCTGGTACATATTCCAACACATTTCTAACAAAACCAAGTCTTCCTAGAAGAACTGTAAGAGAAACAATCATGTAATATCTGCTGCCATTGAGAACTCTCCTCTTCACTATGAGCACATTGCAGTCTTGTTCCAAAATCTGGAATGCCTTCTCCACATTTATTTTGCAGTTCAATCAAAAGTTCTTAGCATGCAATAAGACTTAACTCAAGGGTATGACACATTCCTATTGATGCTATGCTGTGTGCAGCAGAAGTAAACACACAGGCCAGCAGAAGAGCAGCCTAAACATACTTCTTTCAAATAACCAACAATTACTACATATCCAAGAGTTCTGATAAAACTGAGATTGAATTCAGCAGGCAGAAGCCGTAAAGCAGCACACAATCCCAGCTGTGGCAGTTAGAATTCACTGCAGTGACAGGTGTCAGCCTTGTCAAGCTAATGCTTATAACTCCATAAAGTCATACACAGTTTACATTAACATTTCCTTTCTTAAGAGTACACTGCTGTTTAGCCATTAAGAACTCCACTGGTTGTGAAATTCTTGTCTTCCAGACCACTGGCTTTAGCCTGAGACTGCTGCTCAAGCTTCTCCACCATCTCTTTCAAGTGCTCTTCATCTTTGAAAAAATACACATACAAGTCTCTTTCCATCTGATGCAGCCTATTGGACTCTAAAAAGCTTCTCTTTGACTTCAGATCAGCAACCAGATCCTTAAGGAGATGATTTAGTTCACCTAAATCCACTTTCAGCTGGTGAAACTGCTCAGAAAGTTCCTAGCAAAAAATAAAAGACAAAAATATTATTACTTTTCTATTGTTAATACACTAGTTGAACTAGAAATAGGAAAGGTTTTTTGCTTTAAGAAGTCACTTGTTTGTAATCAAAAAAGTAATCACAAAAAAAAAACAGAAACAAGAATACTAAGGGATTCCATTCAACTGATGTAACTTTTGAGCTCCATGTAACAGAACTCATATCGTATTATGCAAATGTAATTTACTTGTTGACCAGATGAGTTAAGACCATACAAATCTGCACCTGACCTAGAGAGATGAGTGAATGACATTTTCTCAAATCTTAAAAGGGAACAAACAAAAAAAAGCACAATAAAAAAGTTAAATCAATCTTACAATTAAATCATTAAATACTAGCTACAAGTTTCACAACTGGCATTCTTATGATAGTTTAGTATAAGCAGATTAATCATCTACTTGCACACTGTTCTCTTATTAAAGGAATTACTTTTCTTTTTCTGAGAAACAGTAACAGTAGAACAAGATGTCATATTTTAAGTAGTAACTTAAATCAATAGTAAGGTATTTGATTTAAATGTATGCAATCCCTGAACACATACTGTTCCAATTACAGTCTCATTTTTAAATTAAAACTGTTCTATATGTTGCAAACTCATTTGACAAATGTTAAATATATTTTTATGTAATTAACCAAGAAAGTATTATATAATAGAAGATTCCCCTTGATGCATTTTTGAGGTATCTACAATGATTTATAAACCATGAGAAGGTGCATTTAACAAATCCTGTTCCCATTTAAAAGATGTTTTAAACGTAACACCTGAGACAGGGTGCAGCAGGATTGTCCTACTACAACTGTCCTTCAAAATTCTGTTATTTTTAGTTTGTCTGAATGACCTACCCACAGCCAGGCTTTTAAGGGGTGAAACTCTACTATTAGGGTCTTAGAGGTAACAAAGGAGAAAGCCCATATGAAATGAAGAGCAACTTAAAGGAGTTTTCCAGTGACACCCTATCCAGTCAAAGGATCTCCCACATCACAAGCTTACCAGAATAAAGGACTGCACGTGCCCTTGAAAGAAATTCATTTAGATGCAACAGTTTATTCAGAAACAAAAAAAAATTACCTGCCAGCATTTAGAAAAATCCAACATTTGCCAAGAACAATGTAAATGTTCAGCATCCATTATCATTAATAAATTTGTTGCTAATAAGTGGGGACAGTTTGCATGTCCAGAGCCTTCATACTATACTTTTATCAGTAAAAGAACATGACACAAAATGTAGCAATTTGAAAAAAATCATTAAGGGCCTACCGGACTCCGGAGCTGTATCTGATTTGTTCCACAATAGAGAGCACCATGAAGGGCATCCACATCCCTTTCTAGGTTGGACAAAAGGACAGACTGCTCTCGAGCAGATGCTGCCAGCTGATCTTGTACTGTAGCACAGTCCTGCTTTAACTTCTGAGCCATCTGCTCCAGGCTTTTGTATGTTTTAAACAACTGTTGTTTTTTACTTCCTCCTTCCAGAAGTTGATACAGCCTGTAACAAGTGAAGTTAGACAGACAAATATTTTAACTGTCCTAAGCACTCTATCATCAGTTAAGACAACATGTCTGTGTTGAAAAGTCAGAGGACAAGTAAGGTAAGTGCTGCTAAAGGCACTTTTGCAACACTGCTATATCTCCCACTGATTTCAGGATTCCATCTATATATCTATATATAGCAGTGATTAATAGGAATCTGAAATATTTCAGTATCAAATTAGCAGCAATGAAATACTAAAGTAACAGTTAGTAAGTAGATTATGAATGCAAATAGAAGTTGACAGTCTGCTTTTGCCAACTATTTCCTGATACTTCAAGGACTGCAAAATAAGATTTTTTTTTTAAGTGCTGAATGAAAGCAGACTTCAACAGTCGATGAGAAATAAGAACAATCGTTGTAACATTTTCAAGCTCACTGAAGTATTTCCTGTTTTCTACCTATGAAGAGACTGCTAAGAAATTCTCCCATTAGTTACAAGTCATGCAAAAGACAGCATTACACGCTATAGCAAACTGTACCCTTACACTGCATCAGGAATGGGCCTAATACAATTATAGACAACATTACATAGTCCAAATGTTACTACCACCTCTGCATAACAAAATCTTCAGGAGCTGCTCCCTAATATAAAATCAGACTGGCTTTATTAAGAGCAAGAGCTATATTTCAGAAATAACTGAAGGTCCTTCAAGTGTCTCGTTTACAAACCCTGTAAGGTTTTTAATTCTTTCAACTTCCCTTCCCTTTTTCTAATAAAAAAAAAGCCAGAAACATTCATTCAGTGATTTGCAGACTACATAATAAACCTGAACAAAAATGTAACAAGCTGACACAAACACACAATAGGAGTAAAATTAATTCTAATTCTTCCAGTCATTCACTGTGACAAACCATACTCAGTTATCACTTATCAATTATTAAAAAAACAAACACTTAAAGCACCATTTTAAAGAAGGAGGAAAAGTCTGACAGTAACACACCTATAATTACACAATTCTCACAATATCTCATCAAAAGATCTAGTCTTGATGGCAGAGAAGCACAGCACACATCCTTAACTGTATCACCTGAACTTTAAGAAGACTTAATTATTCAGATGGTGAAAAACCAGACTCCTACATGGGTGCCAGGACACTCAAACCAGATGGCAAATCAAGCAGCAAAAACGAGCTAAACACATTTCACAGCCCGAAGGAATCATTCCTCTCTCCTACCACACGGGGGGTTTTTGCCCGCTCAGCCGATGAGGCCATGCATACAACCTGGGAAATCAGTGCTATTAACATCTATGCCTCTAGAGTATCAGGAGGTGCTAGATAAAACAAGCTTGGGTTCAAACATTCTTCATGTTACAGATACTAATTAAGAATGCTTCAGCAATATTACTAAGACTGATAATTGAACAGTTTTTCCTCAGGCAAACCTAAAGAGAATTTCAAAGGACAAGAAAGAAACAAGTTTCACATCTTGAATGCTTCAGCTCTTGAAAATTCAAAATTCTAATTAGCTACAGCAAGTAAAAAAGAACTTGGAAGCAGGCAAGGCTTATCTTGCCTGCGCCTTCATGTCCCCAGTATTATTTCAAAGGAAATCCAACACTGAATATAATACTTACCTGCAAGAGAAACCATCCTCTGAAGTAATAGTGCTCCTTGGCTTTGCCCGTTCAGTTCGTTCAGCTATCACCTGTAGTCTCTGCTGCAACTCATCAGTGCTTTGTTTCAGAGATTCTACCAAATTCTCAAGTTGGCAGCTGATCTCCTGGTGTTTCTTCATCTCCATTTCACAGGCCAGCTGAATAAGTTCAAATGAGGTTTTCTGTCTTATCAAATGCCTGCCTATTTTTTCTTGAATTGCAGCATAATAGTCCTGCTGAGCAATTTGGTGATCTAAATATTCTTTCACCACTGGTGCAGTCAAAAGTTGTGCATTCTTCTTAAGAAGGGGAAGCAGCTCTTCATTATTTATCTGAGCTATATCTTGTTTAATTGCTGAAATTTCAGCACTTAAACTAGATATTTTAGCATCAATGTTTTCCTGTTGTCCAATATCCTGCATAAAACAAAATATTTGTGAATTTCTTCAAGGCTCCCACCAAGCCACCACCCAAACATTTTTTCAGTTCATATAAGGTTCATGTATTTGTGTTACATTTAGCTCCAAAATTAAATTAAAAACCCTACAAGTAGTTTTACAGAATTTTACAAAATAATGCAAATACAGATGAACAAAGTAGATAATAGATATATTTCAGTAAAAAATAATTTCATTCTATCACAGGGTCAGGAAACAGTTTAAAAATAAAAGAGCTACATGTTACCAAGCACCTATTTCAAGTATGTCTAACTGAAATCTCACAAGCAAACGTAATTTTTTATATTCATTTGGATGATCAACACTGCTGGCAGAATCCATCTTTTTCAAGTTACCTTAATCAATCAAGTCCTATATACTAATCATCCAAAAATGAAAATATACAAACTGACATGATGCCTCAAGTTATTCAATGACTGGCATAAGCAAATACCTTTCCTTTCATTATGATTTCCTCACAAATTCCACTAGCCACATTTGCCTGTCACTCATTTGTTGAGAGACTTCTGGGGCTTCAACTATCAGATTCATTTATTTGGTACAAATACTTGAGTTTCCAGAGTCAGTGAACTAAAGCTTTCTAAGTTTATGCTACGCAATAAAAACAAATACATTTATCATTTTGGCTCCTTGATACCACAGAATTGCAATCAAAGCTAAGATTCTGTTTATTCTACAAAGAACCAGTTCTAATGTGAAAATTCAAAGTTAAACTAAACTAGAAAGGTACTATAAATTCTAAGATTTTAAAGGTAGTAATACTGGAAATGCAGAATTCAAGGAACTGTAGCACACTGAAGATTTCCTAACCATGGAGACTGAAGATATTTCATAAAAGCAGTTTTGTAAGTAAGACTAAAACTTCTTAAAAGTGCAATTTCACTACATAAAAATATTTGAAATAACAATAACTCAGCAACTCCCTTTACTAGATCAAATGGAACTCGTCTGTCTGTTTAAAACTCCAGTACCTTTCATCACCTTTTGTACCTTACCTTGTCTGAGGATTGCAGCAGGCTCTCCGCACACTTGATAGCTGAATTCATGCCCTCCTCTTCAGCTCGCAGCTGAATTAGCTGGTTCTGACCACAAATATACGCTGCCTGGAGTCTGGCTATCTCTTGCCTCTCTTCACAAACTTCATCAGCCGCATCTAAAGGGACTTGCTTGATTAAATCTTCAAGCTGAAAGCTGCCTCCACGTGAATTTTCAGCGCATTCAGACATACCTTTATAAAAATGCTTTTTTATGTGTGATGCAACTGCTGCAGTGCTTTGTTCTTCCACAGACAAATATTTATCCAAAGAAAGTTGGGAAAAAAAC